ACCTAAGCAGTAGGTACCTGACCACCGAATCGTACCTATCTACTGGCGTTAGAAGAACCGCTCACCGCAGCTCACTGAGTCTGTTGGCCTCAGTTACTTGACGGCCGCATTCAGTGAGCTTGCAGCATGGTGTTCGGCTAGCGGTGTGTCAACCGCCTTTGGAGAGGATTTACTGGACTACCGGTGATGTCTGTGGACTCACCGTCTACGTTGATCAACTGTGGGCCGGAGTCGTCAGATGCTGTTTAGTGGGACATTACATGAAGAAAAGGTTGGAGTGTTACACTGATCTGGGCCAGGACCGTAGTGTGACACTGAGGGACGTACGATGGAGTGGAACACTGAGATATGCATAGGACCGTAGTGGAACACTGAGATGAAAAGGGTGTCGTGGGACACTGAAGATGGCCTGGTTGTAGTGTACACTGAACAGTGTCGTGTGACTGACTTCGTGTCGTGAGAGGCAGTTGATTGTAATTTATTATAAAAATGTTATTTATAATTTATTGTTTTAGCATAGAGATATATATATATAGTGACAGTAGTGTCAAGAGTTGTACCCTGTGTAGGGTTATTAATTATATTTTAGTAAAATGCTGATTATAATTTATTATAGTAACATGTACATATTATTATTATATCATAGTTCAAATACCTCTAGACCAAAGATAGTTGATTTTTATATATTAAAGATTAATTTATATTAATGTGTGTATTTATGTATCCCGAACTCTTTATTACAAAAGGAGTAAATCTTAATACCATCTTCTTTTAAAAATTACTTTTTTTGTAATATGTACCCTCCAGAGGTTCAGACAAAAAAAAACGAATCACTCTCATTGCACACTGTGAATGTGAAATGCCCTGCAGAGACTGTACCCATTATTCCATAGAGAAAACCGAAAGAAATTTAATCAGCAGAGATTATTCAGCTCCGCCTAGCAGCAGTAGCTGGTTAACATGTTAATATTCCTAACCATAATGTTAACTCTCTTGATTATTCCATTATTTCTTTTATAGAAGAAACTTCAGCGCAATGATAATTATACAGTAGAAACGTGACCTAATTTCAACTTCTCTAATCTGATTTCTTCCCTTGAAACGAGAGGGTTCTTGATGCCAGTGGCGAGGATCTGGAGTCAAGGTATTGAACCTGTCCTCGTCTTCCTTGGCTCAAACTTCATTTGCCTACCAGTCCTCCAGGTGTTGTAATACCAATTATGGGTTTACCGCTTTTGTTTAAATATTAATAATAACAGTACCAAAATAATAATAACAATAATAAATAAAAACAATAACTATAATAATAATAATAATAATAATAATATAATAATAAAAATACTACTACTACTACTACTAATAATAATTACGCCCACAAGAATGTCATGACGATAATCTCACAGCTCAGAGGCGCTGCGCTGTCAGCGGATTACAGATAATAAATTATACAACGAATAATAGGTGTATAATATTGAATAACATACTAGACACATATCAGTAAATAAGCAGATAAATAATCCTTTAAAAATATATGAATTAAATTGTGATTAATTAACTAATAATTCGTCATTAAATAATAATTAATTTTACGATTATAAATAATTCGGTTTGTTTGAGGGTTTAGAGGATTGTATCAGAAATATTGAAATAGAAATCGATGTTTTTTTTTCTCTATATTTAAAAAAATGTACTTTGAAAAGGTTTCAAAAAATAATTTGGGCTGGTTTTTTCTCCTGACTCTTGCCTTGTCTTCCCTATTCATTTCACTCTTCCCTATTATTCATACTCTTCCATATTCTTCACTCTATTCCCTATTCACACTATTCCCCATTCTTCACACTCTTCCTTCTCCTTCCCACTCTTCCCTTTTCTCCCCAGTCTTCCCAGTTCTTCCCACTTCCCCATTATCCTCGCTCTACCCTACTTTTTCCATTATATCCTACTTGGCCCTTTATTCCTGCTATATCTTCTCTTATTCCGCCACTATCGTATCATCTTTTACTTCCCCCATTCACTGTTATTATCGCCCACTCTTATTTCTTATTTTTCATTCAGTTCTTCATCCTTAAATATTTTTACTTTTCCCATTCTCACTCGGTCTTGCATGCTAAGAGTATATTACGTTTTAGTCTACGTATGACGCACCCATGTATGCTGCCTCCCAGCCAACGGACTAGGTGCTGAGGGTTTAATGATCAAGGGTCCCGTCGTTATACCAGTTCCTCGGTTCGACAAACTAATCACAAGGAAATCCACCAAAACTGTGAAGCGATGTGATACACTCGTGAAGCAGCTCTGGCAGACTTGCCTTCCCTGCTGGTAGCTACGGTATTTTTGCCTCATTGTATATAGCTGTAAATACTGTACATAGGCTATATACACTGTAACTACCGGCTTATTTTGGTGAAGGAAATGCAATCGTTTATTTCTCTCTGCTGCCTTTTATTGCTCGTTCCTAATTGGTTATCATGCTACGGCCAGGTGTGCAGGCCAGTAATCTACATCTGTGCTCGAAATGTTCGTCTATCCTCATTCTACACAGAACTTCCTCATTCTTCTGCTCATTCTTTAACACCTTCCTTCAAATCCTCATACTCCTATCCTCTTACTTCCATCATACATCCTCATTCCCTCCACTTCCTCATTCGTGCCGTGTTCTCCTTTCCCGATTTAGGAAGTTGAGTAGAAGGAGGATGAGTGGGAGGGTTGAAATACAATGCTTAAACAGAATTTTTAAGCACTAGGAAGTTTGAGCACCAGGAGGTTTAAGCAACAGGAGGTTTAAGAACCAGGAGATTTAAGAACCAGGAGGTTTGAGCACTTGCTTACTGCTTAAGGAGAAATTCTGAGCACTTGAACTTCTCTTAAGAAGAAAGGTTAAGTTCCAGAACTTGCCTTGAGCTACAAACTAAATTTCTTACCATATTATAAAGATAATTCTGAAAATAAACACTAAGAAATATGTTATACATTTTTTACTATAGAGGTAAAAATGCGCGATAATGCTGTATTTAGCTAAAAAAATAAAAAAAACGGTGAGTGACAGGTGTGAGGCAACAGGTGTTTCACACGGGAGTAAACAAGGTCAGACAGTAACTAACCAGAGCATACACAAGGTATACGCGCACGGTAACGTATGCGTATTTGCGTATGACACACATTCTCACATAATGGTGAGCATATATATATATGTACATATATATATATATATATATATATATTATATATTAGAACACACACACACATGCACACTCAGATATCTTATTAAATAAATCAATAGTCGTACCTTTAAAATAAAATTTAAGAAATAAGATATAGTTCATCAACAAAGAGAGAACACCTGTGTTGATGTTAGTCACAGGTGTTGTAGCGGTGTGCAGAAGAATTCTAGTGATGGTGGTGGTGCTGCTACTGGTTGTGGTGGGCTGGTTGTGGTGCTGGTGGTGCTCATGGTGGTGGTGGTGGTGGTGTGTGGTTGTTTGGGGGTGCTGGTGGTGCTGGTTGTGGTGCTGGTGGTGCTCATGGTGGGGGTTGTGGTGGTGGTGGTGGTGCTCGTGGTGCTAGTTGTGGTGCGGGTGGTGCTGGTTGTGGTGCTGGGGGGTGCTGGTGGTGGTGGTTGTGGTGGTGGTGGAGCTGCTGGTGCTGGTTGTGGTGGTGCTGGTGGGCTGGTTGTGGTGTGGTGGTGCTGATTGTGGTGGTGGTGGTGGTGCTGGTTTGGTGGTGGTGGTGGTGCTGGTTGTGGTGGTGGTGGTATGCTGGTTGTGGTGGGGTGGTGGTGGTGTGGCTGGTTGTGGTGGTGCTGGTTGTGGTGGTGGTTGTGGTGTACGGGTGGTGCGGGTTTTGTGGTGGTGGTGGTGCTGGTGGTGGTGGTGCTGGTTGTGGTGGTGGTGGTGGTGCTGGTGGTGCTGGTTGTGGTGGAGCTGGTGGTGCTGGTGGTGTGGTTGTGGTGGTGGTTGTGGTGCTGGTGGTGCTGGTGGTGGTGGTTGTGGTGGTGGTGGGGGTGGAGCTGCTGATGCTGGTTTGGTGGTGCTGGTGGTGCTGGTGGTGTGGTTTGGTGGTGGTTGTGGTGGTGCTGGTGGTGTTGGTTGTGGTGGTGGTGGTGCTGGTGGTGGTGGTGCTGGTTGTGGTGTTGGTGGTGCTGGTGGTGCTGGTTGTGGTGGGTGCTGGTGGTGCTGGTTGTGGTGCTGGTTGTGGTGCTGGTGGAGCTGGGGGTGGTGGCTGTGGTGGTGGTGGTGGTGGAGCTGCTGGTGCTGGTTGTGGTGGTGCTGGTGGTGCTGGTTGTGGTGGTGGTTGTGGTGGTGCTGGTGGTGTTGGTTGTGGTGGTGTGGTGCGGGGTGGTGGTGGTGGTGGTTGTGGTGGGGGTGGTGGTGTGGTGGTGGGGGTTTGGTGGTGGTGCTGGTTGTGGTGGTGGTGCTGGTGGTGCTGGTGGTGCTGGTTGTGGTGGTGCTGGTGGTGCTGGTGGTGCTGGTGGTGCTGGTTGTGGTGCTGGTTGTGGTGCTGGTGGTGCTGGTGGGGGTGGTTGTGGTGGTGGTGGTGGTGGAGCTGCTGGTGCTGGTTGGGGTGGTGCTGGTGGTGCTGGTGGTGCTGGTTGTGGTGTTGGTGGTACTGGTTGTGGGGGTGGTGGTGCTGGTGGTGGTGGTGGGGGGTTGATGCTGGTGGTGCTGGTGGGCTGGTTGTGGTGGTGGTGGTGCTGGTTGTGGTGGTGGTGGTGATGGTGGTGGTGGTGGTTGTGGTGGTGGTGGTGCTGGTTGTGGTGGTGGTGGTGGTGGTGCTGGTGGTGCTGGTGGTGCTGGTTGTGGTGGTGGTGGTGCTGGTGGTGGTGGTGCTGGTTGTGGTGGTGGTGGTGGTGGTGGTGGTGCGGGTTTGTTGGTGGTGGTGGTTTTGGGTTTGTTGGTGGTGGTGGTGGTGGTGGTGGTGCTGGTTGTGGTTGTGGTGCTGGTTGTGGTGGTGGTGCTGGTGGTGCTGGTTTTGGGGTGCTGGTGGTGGTGCTGGGGGTGCTGGTGGTGGTGCTGGTGGTGGTTGCTGGTGGTGCTGGTTGTGGTGGTGGTGGTGCTGGTTGTGGTGGTGGGGGCTGGTGGTGCTGGTGGTGGGGGTTGTGGTGGTGGTGGAGCTGCTGGTGCTGGGGGTGGTGGTTGTGGTGGTGGTGGTGGTGGAGCTGCTGGTGCTGGTTGTGGTGGTGCTGGTGGTGCTGGTGGTGCTGGTGGTGCTGGTTGTGGTGGTGGTTTGGTTGCTGGTGGTGCTGCTGGTGGTGCTGGTGGTGCTGGGGTGGTGCTGGTGGTGCTGGTGGTGGGGGCTGGTGGTGCTGGTAGTGGTGCTGGTGGTGCTGGTGGTGCTGGTGGTGGTGCTGGTGGTGCTGGTGGTGGTGCTGGTGGTGCTGGTGGTGGTGCTGGTGGTGCTGGTGGTGGTGCTGGTGGTGCTGGTGGTGGTGCTGGTGGTGCTGGTAGTGGTGCTGGTGGTGGTGCTGGTGGTGCTGGTGGTGGTTTTGTGGTGCTGGTGTGGTGCTGGTGGTGCTGGTGGTGGTGCTGGTAGTGGTGCGGGTTTGGGTGCTGGTGGTGCTGGTGGTGCTGGTGGTGGTGGTGCTGGTGGTGGTGCTGGTGGTGCTGGTGGTGGTGCTGGTGGTGGTGCTGGTGGTGGTGTGGTAGGGGTGCTGGTGGTGCTGGTGGTGGTGCTGGTGGTGCTGGTGGTGGTGTTGGTGGTGCTGGTGGTGGGCTGGTGGTGCTGGTGGTGGTGCTGGTAGTGGTGCTGGTGGTGGTGCTGGTGGTGCTGGTGGTGCTGGTGGTGGTGCTGGTGGTGCTGGTGGTGGTGCTGGTGGTGGTGCTGGTAGTGGCGGTTAGGATGAAATTAGAGTTTTCATCCAATTTGCATATTTAACTGGCAATTTTTAGAACGTATAATTATGGCAACCTGTGACCTACCTGTGACTGGTTGCCAGGGTTCCTCTGCCCTCCCAGCCCGACCTGAAGCCAGGCAGCCTCCATGACTGTTGCCTAAACCAGGCTGTTGCTGCTGGCCGACCGCTGGCCCACACGACCATAACAGCCTAGTTGATCTCACATTTAATTAAGGTAGTGATCCAGTTTTTTCCTGATAACTTTTACACTTGTTCCGGTAATATTTCATTTTTCTGTTGGTATCTGTTGGTATCTGCTAATATCTGTTGGTATCTGCTGATCTCTGTTGGTATCTGCTGATATCTGTTGTATCTGCTGATATCTGTTGGTATCTGCTGTATTTTGTTGCTATCTGCTGATGTCTGTTGGTATCTGCTGATATCTGTTGGTATCTGCTGATATCTGTTGGTATCTGCTGATATCTGTTGGTATCTGCTGATGTCTGTTGGTATCTGCTGATATCTGTTGGTATCTGCTGATATCTGTTGGTATCTGCTGATATCTGTTGGTATCTGCTGATGTCTGTTGCTATATGATTATATCTGTCAGTATCTGATAAAATCTGTTGGTGTATGATAAAATCTGTTGGTATCTGCTGATATCTGTTGATATCTGCTGATATATGTTGGTATCTGCTGATATCTGTTGGTATCTGCTGATATTTGTTGGTATCTGCTGATATCTGTTGGTATCTGCTGATATCTGTTGGTATCTGCTGATATCTGTTGGTATCTGCTGATGTCTGTTGGTATCTGCTGATATCTGTTGGTATCTGCTGATATCTGTTGGTATCTGCTGATATCTGTTGGTATCTGCTGATATCTGTTGGTATCTGCTGATATCTGTTGGTATCTGCTGATATTTGTTGGAACCTGCTGATATCTGTTGGTATCTGCTGATGTCTGTTGGTATCTACTGATATCTGTTGGTATCTGCTGATATCTGTTGGTATCTGCTGATATCTGTTGGTATCTGCTGATATCTGTTGGTATCTGCTGATATCTGTTGGTATCTGCTGATATTTGTTGGTATCTGCTGATATCTGTTGGTATCTGCTGATATCTGTTGGTATCTGCTGATATCTGTTGGTATCTGCTGATGTCTGTTGGTATCTGCTGACATCTGTTGGTATCTGCTGATATCTGTTGGTATCTGCTGATATCTGTTGGTATCTGCTGATGTCTGTTGGTATCTGCTGATATCTGTTGGTATCTGCTGATATCTGTTGGTATCTGCTGATATCTGTTGGTATCTGCTGATATCTGTTGGTATCTGCTGATGTCTGTTGGTATCTGCTGATATCTGTTGGTATCTGCTGATATCTGTTGGTATCTGCTGATGTCTGTTGGTATCTGATAATAACTGTTGGTACTTGCTAATATAATAAATAATAATAATAATAATAATAATAATAATAATATTTAATATCTTTATTTCTACAAGTACATGTACAAGGTATACAGACCATAGCTGACATCAGTGACATACTATATAGAAAGTCGCTTGTTATGCATAGAATTTCGGGCAAATTAGGTCGATTTTGTCCAAGGATGCCACCCACACCAGTCGAATAATACCCAGGTACCCATTTTATACTGATGGGTAAACAGGGACAGCAGGTGTCTTATAGAAACACGTCCCTAATGTATTCCAGCCGTACCGGAGGAGATTCGAACTCCGGACCTCAGTGTGTGAGCTGAGTGCACAAGTGATCGAGCTACGGGACACCCTCATCTGTTGGTATCTTCTGATATCTGCTAATATAATTTGATATCTGCTTGTACCCGGTGATTTCTATTGATATCTGCGGGTATCTCCTTTGTTTTGGAATCTCCTGGTATCTGCTGATATCTGCTGGTATCTTCTTTGTTTTGGAATCTCCTGGTATCTGCCGATATCTGCTGGTATCTTCTGTTATCTCCTGACATATTCTTATATCTACTGGTATCTACCAGTTCTGATGGAATCTTCTGAAGTCTGCTGATGTCCTGAAACAAACATGTTGACACAGTGATCTCGTACTATGCCCATGGTGACCCTACATTGTACCCATGGTGACACATTGTGTCCATAGTGACTATACATTGCATCCATGGTGACCCTACATTGTGCCCATGATGACGTATATTGTGACCATAGTGACCCGACATTGTGCATATGGTGACCCTACATTGTCCCCATTGTGATCCTACGTTGTGCCCATGGTGACCGACATTATGCCCATGGTGCCCCTTACATTGTAACCATGGTGCACTTTATACTGTGCCCATGGTGCTCCTTACATTGTGCCCATCTTCCCCCTTACATTGTACCCATGGTGACCCTTACATTGTACCCATTGTGACTCCTTACATTGTACCCATGGTGACCTTTACATTGTACTCATGGTAACCCCGTACGTCATGTCCACGGTGACCCTTACATTATACTCATGGTAACCCCAACGTCATGTCCATGGTGACCCATACAATGTACTCATGGTAACCCCGTACGTCATGTCCATGGTGACCCTTACATTGTGCTCATGGTAACCCCGTACGTCATGTCCATGGTACCCCTACATTTAACCGGGTCCAACGTACATTACCATGAATATGTCTCCAGTAAAATATTGGAAAAAATTGCAAAACTGAGATGCGTAGACGAAGCAACAGATGGCGAACCAGGAACTAGAACAGGATAATAATAGAATAACTGGAGATAATAGAATACTGAATTTTGAATGAATGAGGAGAAGAGAATACGGAAATAGAGGAATGGGAGGGAGATGGAGGGAGGGAGAGAAGGAGAGGGAGGGAGGGAGGGAGGGACGAAGGGAAGCAGGGAGCACCATCACAGGCTCTCAGGATGTTGGCTACTTCCAATTTCGGAGGAAGGGAGTTAGGGAGTAATGGGTAGACAGAGAGGAAGGGAGTGGAGGCATGATGGGAAGGGAGTGGGAGGAATGGTGGGTAGGCAGAGAGGAAGGGAGTGGAGGCATGATGGGAAGGGAGTGGGGGAATGATGGGCAGGCAGAGAGGGAGTGAGAAAAGGATGGGTAGGCAGAGAGGAAGGGACTGAGGAATGATGAATCAAATGAAGGGAACTGATGGGTAAAACAAAGAAAAATTATGAGTAGGATGAAGGGAAATGATGGGTACGATGAAGAGAAATAATGAGCAGGACGAGGGGAAAACAAGGGAGGGAAGGGAAGGTTGAAATCATTATCCCGTTCAGGAAAAAAATACTAAAGTTTGACCCAGAAAATAGGTGGTGGCGGAAAATTTCAATTCCTTGGATTAAGAGCCCTCCTGCCCGGACTTATGGCACCCCATTCCCCTCCAGTCCCCTCCCCTTCCCACCCCTACCCGCCCCATTCCTTCTGTTCCCTCGGCTACCGGTCCTGATGGGAAGGGGGGACTGGGGAGGAAAACTGGGATGGAAGCTGGTAGGTCCTACTATGTGCAAGCTTCCTCTCCCAGGATTATCCCGATCAACAGTTGATCTTTCTAAAACAGGAGATAGATAGATAGATAGATAGATAGAGAGAGAGAGAGAGAGAGAGAGAGAGAGAGAGAGAGAGAGAGAGAGAGAGAGAGAGGAGGGGAGGGAGGGAGGGAGGGAGGGAGGGAGGGACCGAGGGAGGGAGAGAGAGAGAGACACTTCACAGAATCAAAAGTATTTATGATCGACATGCAAGCTCGGTGAACACACACACACACACACACACACACACACACACACACACCCCACACACACACACACACACACACACACACACACACACACACACACACACACAGACAGACACACACACACACACACACACACACACACACGTGGTCCGGAAACTGGCTTCTCGAATTCAACCCTGCCAAATGCAAAGTCATGATGACCGGAGAAGGGCAAAGAAGACCGCAGACGGAGTATAGGCTAGGTGGCCAACAACTGCAAACCTCGATCAAGGAGAAAGATCTTGTCGTGAGTATAACACCGAACACGTCTCCGGAAGCACACATCAACCAGATAACTGCTGCAGCATATGGGCGCCTGGCAAACCTGAGATTAGCATTCCGATACCTAAGTAAGGAATCTTTCAAGACACTGTACACCGTGTACGTCAGGCCCATACTGGAGTATGCAGCACCAGTTTGGAACCCGCACTTGATCAAGCACGTTAAGAAATTAGAGAAAGTTCAAAGGTTTGCGACAAGGTTAGTTCCAGAGCTAAGGGGAATGTCCTATGAAGAAAGGTTGAGGGAAATCGGCCTGACGACACTGGAGGACACGAGGGATAGGGGAGACATGATAACTACATATAAAATACTGCGTGGAATAGACAAGGTGGACAGAGACAAGATGTTCCAGGGAGGGGACACAGAAACAAGGGGTCACTCTTGGAAGTTGAAGACTCAGATGAGTCACAGGGATGTTAGGAAGTATTTCTTCAGTCATAGAGTTGTCAGGAAGTGGAACAGTCTGGCGAGCGATGTAGTGGAGGCAGGAACCATACATAGCTTTAAGCTCATGGAGCAGGGAGAGAGAGAACCTAGTAGCGTTCAGTGAAGAGGTAGGGCCAGGAGCTGAGTCTCGACCCCTGCAACTACAATTAGGTGAGTACACACACACAAACACACTAATACCAACATCATCATTCATTTATTCTTTTCAGAAACATTAACGGTTTACCAAGAGAATGGGAAGAACCAGAGGAGATATAATCATAACATACATGATACATGAAGACATCGATACAGATAGGAATATGCAGAGGGACATAAGAGAGAATCAATGCATTAGAAACCTGCAGAATGTAGGATAATACGAAATAAGGTAACAAAATTAAACGCCAGACAATAGGCGATAAAAAAAATGGGTCCAGGAGCTGTAGTTCGGCCTCAAGTGACTTGACAAGTCACCTATGGTCGCCGTTGGTCGTTACCTGGGGAAGATGAGACGTATGGGCACGTGTTCTTTCACTGGAGTCCCCTGTTCACCATGCTTTGTGTAAGTACCTGGGTGTTAGTCTACTCTTGTGGGTCGCATCATGGGGGTGCGACCCCACTCATCATCAACCACCATCCACTCGTCATCACCACCACCAACCA